AGTTGAGTATATACATCACAGTTCAGGGAGGACGTCCAGGCTGAAGCTATAAATTTGAGAGTCATAAACTCATGAGTGTTATTTAAAGCTGGGAGACTCAATGGGAACTCCTCGAGTAGGTAGGGCAGGGGTTTGAAAATGAAGCCCTGGGTCAGGTAGAGATGCTTAGAAATTGGAGAAATAAGAAGGCATCGGCAAAGGGAACTGAGAAGAGCGGCCAGTGTGCTAGGAAAGGAACCGAGAGGGAATGGGATCATGGAAACAAAGATGTATAGTTTCCAGGAGAGACTAGTCAGCTGTGTCAAATAATGCAAAAGGTCCTTGTAAGAAGTTGCTAATCATGAGGCAGGAGGTCACACAGGCCTGAAGTTCATTCCTGAAGTGCAGGTGGAGAGACAAAGGGGCAAGGTGGACTGAGAATGGCATGGGCTGGCACTGTGCCCCTTCTCTCCAGCCACCTTGGCACCTCACTGGGGTGAGGGGTGGTGAGCCAATGACCATGTGAGGGTGAGTTAGAAGAGCTGACTAGTGAAAGCCTGAAATTAAAGCCACAGAGCCATCACTGTGCCAGGGACAAGGACAGTCTTGCTGCTGACCCTGAGTAAGAGCTACAATTTTGAAGTAGAAGTAAACATTGAAGTGCTCTAGACTTTTGCTGCCCAGTTTGGTAGCCACTGCTCATGTGTGACTATTTAAATCTATTTAGTTAATTAAAATTAACTAAAATTTAAAATTTTGTTTTTTAGTCATATTAGAAATATTTCAAGGACTCAGTAGCCACATGGCTAGGGACTAGCGTGTATTCATACAATAAGAACACTTCCATTATCACGGAAAGTTCTATTGGCAATGCTGATCCAGACCACAGCAGCTTCAGAAAACAGAATGTCTACCTAGAGTGCAAGCTCCATGAAGGCAGGAATGGTCTCTGTCTTAAGTACCACCACATCTCCAGAACAACACCTGGCATGTAACATATGCTCAGTGAGTCTTGTTGAGTAAATTATTAAATGACTTTAAAAGTCCTGAAATGAGTGAATAATTAAGTGAATTAGGCAACAATGAGACTCTGTGATATTGCAAACCTCATTTATGAAAAAATTTTAATTACATGGAAATTGTGTAAAGTGCCTGAGACTCTATGCCAATCCTTACAGCCATTCTCCTCTTCCTCTTTAGGAACAGAACAGAACCCTGAATTTTCACTGAACACAACTCCACACACTATAAGAGATTATAGTTGGCCAGGTGTGGTGGCTCACACCTGTAATTCTAACATTTTGGGAGGCTGAGGGGGGTGGATCACTTGAGGCCAGGAGTTCGAAACCAGCCTGGCCAATATAGTGAAACCCTGTCTCTACTAAAAATACAAAAATTAGCTGGACATGGTGGCACACATTTGTGGTGCCAGCTACTCAGGAGGCTGAGGCACGAGAATCGCTTAAACCCAGGAGGGGGAGGTTGCAGTGAGCCGAGATGGCACCACTGTACTCCACCTGGGCAACAGAGAGAAACTTTGTCTCAAAAAAAAAAAAAAAAACTTATAGTTCCCTGCCCCCTTTGCAATTAAGTTTCACCACGCTGCTAATTGTTATCAAGCAATATGAAAGCAAAAGCGCTATATGGCACCTTTGGAAAATCTCTTAAAAGGGAAAGTGATCAGTTTTCCCCCTCCTTTCTCTTTTCCTGTCCCCTGGAATAGAAATGCAATGCTAGAGCTGTGTTGTCCAGTATGTCATCCACATGTGGCTATTGAGATTAACTTATTAAAAGTAAATAAATTAAAAATTCACTTTGTGGGTCTCACTTGCCATATTTCAAGTGCTCTACAGACACTACCATATTTTTTCTCTATACCATAATGCTCAGAAGCATTGCCATATTGAACTGCACAGATATAGAATATCTCCATCAGGGCTGGACTTTCTGCCCCTGAACTTTTTAAATTCTATCTCATTAAAAGTTCCTTTTTTTCCTGTTATATGCAGTCAAACCTATACCTAAATGAATACAAATAATTAATGGACAGAGGATACAAAATTGTATATTTGAATAGTTTACAGCACTCTACTAATTTTTCTTTAAAGAAAGCATATTATATTGATTATCTTAAAAACACATTTTTGATGTTGTGATAAAATCAATGACCAAGAGCTAACTATATGTTCTCCAGTGCTAAGTGGTATAATTAGACGATACTACTTTTGTTAATTGAGAAGACATTTTTAAAATTTTACAACATTCTCTGTCTCATAAAACAATGAAAAAAATGTTTTCCTTTAACTTCTGTGCTTCCTTTAGCAAGGCCAGAACAAAGTGAGTCATCAGCTCTCAACAGATCTAAGTCTCAACTCTCTTGAGGGTTGAGAGGTAGGTGACATGATTCCTAAGAATTTTGACGATTCAGTTAGAGTAGATATTATCTGCCTGTGCAGTATCCAGCCACTCAGAGTTCACTGATGGTGTCCTATCCACAGCTCTCAGAGAGGAAACCAAGCCTACCCATGAGTAAGGGACTTCTACCACAACCTGCATCCTAAAGTCCTAGCCTGCTTTAATACAAGCAAGATATCAAGAGAAAGGAAGGGTGCCTTCACTGTGTTTAGTTAGGGAGCAGATGTTTTAAAATATACATTAACAAGATATGAAAGCATTTAGCATAAAAAAGTATAGGGAAGCTATTTTACAGTCAACATCTATTTAACAAATACTAAGTGAGTACCTATGATGTGCCAGGTAGATGGTCTAACAGAGAATGTTTATGTTCAGAGAAGCAATGCAGCGTGCAACAGAGAATGTCTATTGAACTACCTTAGAATGCTTGAACGCTTTTGGGGTGGAATCAAGGCCTATTCTGAGTAGCTCTACAGGACAGAATGATCATTGTGTGGGTAGAGATGTAGTCATCACACAAAATAAAATTAGTAACCAGTTTTAATGATGAAGATGAGGATGGCTAATATTTATTGATCACCATGTTCTTTTCTAAAAGCTTTTCAGGTATATTACCTGATTTAATATTCAGAATAATCCCTTTTTTTCTTTTTTTTGAGATGGTGTCTCGCTCTGTCACCCAAGCTGGAGTGCAGTGGCACTATGTTGGCTCACTGGAACCTACATCCCCCGGATTCAAGTGATTCTCCTGCCTCAGCCTCCCAAGTAGCTGGGATTACAGGTACATGCCACCATATCTGGCTAATTTTTGTATTTTTAGTAGAGATGGGGTTTCTCCATGTTGGCCACGCTAGTCTCAAACTCCTGACCTCAAGTGATCCACCTGCTCTGGCCTCCCAAAGTGCTGGGATTACAGGCATGAGCCACTGCGCCCAGCCAGAATAATCTTACAAAGTTCATGTTATTGTTAGTCATTATATTTATACAAAAACAGTTGTTCAGGGAAGTTAAATACTTTGGATCTTGGGTTGTGGCTCACAGGCAATTGGAACAGCCTAACAAATGTCAGGGCCTGAGCTCTTAGAATTTCAACAGGAAGATGTGCTCCTCACCATGAAAGTGTTCAGAAAGAACCTGTAAGAATTGATATAGCAAGGATTGTGCACGAGCCCAAAGGGTTGTGTATTCCACATGCACAAGGTATCAACTATGTGCATGATATTTAGAGCTGCAAAGAAGGGACACTGGACAGTCCTGCCCTTGAGAACTTACAGTTTATTGAGAGAGAAACACATCAAATAATTAGAATTGAAGTGATAGGGCAATAATATGTAAAAATGACTGTGGAAAGGAGACATAAATTCAACCCAAAGAGGAGGGAAGTCAGAGAAGGTCTTATAGGGAAGATGACTTGAACCTAGGTCTTGAAGAATGTATATGATTTTGTCATACAGAAAAGGGAAGTAAAGTTATTCCAAGCAGAAGCAGCGGCATTTTCTCAGGGATTAATGATAGTCGTCTATGGACAGCGTTAATGGGAACACTAAGGGAAATGAGAAAAGTTTGCTGGTGCCTTTAAAACCACTATTTACCTATGTGTTCAACCAGTGCCTACAATAGAAAGGAAAAAGCCCTAAGATCTATAGCACACCCATGATACTCCATCCCTCTGCTAGGGAAGCTGCCTGAATTATTTCACCTGATTCTCAAGAAAAAGCGGAGGATGTCATGCAAATTCAATGCCAATATCTGCAATTTTGAAGCCAACAGGGGCCAACTTTATGATATTCTATAAATTATGTACAATTATATGAAACAATGGGGTAAGGCGGAGATGCTGAGAAGTTAACCAAAAGTGCCAACACAGACTATCTCATCTCCCTTTCCCAAGAAATACTAATAGGCATTAAAAGAAATGGCCTTTCATGGTCACTTAGAACAAGGGACAGAGGTTTGGAGTAGAAGCATGCTTGGACAGTATCACCCTCCCCTTCATTCTTTAAGTTAGGCCTAATAAGCATTTTCTAACATTATGTATTTTTCACATCTGGATAAGACTAACAATGTTTTTGTGAAACATTGTATTTGTGAAAATATTTGACTTGATCTTTCCATATTGATAGGTAGAATTATGTCTTTTTGACATTATTTTGTTTACAAATGTTGGACATTGTGAGAAAGACCAGAGAGACTGAAGGACTATCTCTTGTAAAAACATGTCGCAAGAAGTAAAATTGCTCCAGGGACTTTTCTGGGGCTCATGGCCAGACGGTCTATGGTACAAGATACCAAGAGCCAACCAAAAAGAATAGAGAAGTAGTCCCTGGAAATTTTTTTTTTTTTTTTTTTTTTTGAGACCGAGTCTCACCCTGTTGCCCAGGCTGGAGTGCAGCGACACAATTGCGACTCACTGCAAGCTCCGCCTCCCGGGTTCAAGAGATTCTTCTGCCTCAGCTTCCCAAGTAGCTAGAACCACAGGCACGTGCCACCATGCCCAGCTAATTTTTGTAGTTTTTAGTAGAGACAGGGTTTCACCATTTTGGCCAGGCTGATCTTGAACTCCTGACCTCGTGATCCACCTGCCTCGGCCTCCCAAAGTGCCAGGATTACAGGCATGAACCACCGTGCCTGGCCTTCTTGGATGTAATTTTCAAAGACATACTTATCAACATTGTAGATCAGATTGGTGCCCTCCTTCCTAAATATTCCCTGATAATTCATCTGGTTGGTTTCCTTTTTTAATGAAATAGAGTTTGTTATCATGAGGGAGTTTGAACAAAGAGGGGAGAAAGAATGAAGGAAGAAAAGAAGGAAGGGAGGGAGGAAGGAGGAAGAGCAAAAGGGAGAAAGAAAAGAAGTGAGGAAGGGAGGAGGTAACAGGACGAAGTGATTTAATCTAAAAAACATTTGTCCACACGTTCTCCTTTGCATTTGCACTTGGTTTGAGGCTTCATATTACCCAAGCCCATGATATTGTTGCTATCTGCCCTCTGTCCTTCAAACATTACACCAAGATAGCGAGTGTCTTCGGTTGCTAAGGAGAACCACAGCAGCAGTATCATTAAGCCTTTATATTTGTTTCTGTCATTCTTGAACATCCCACTAAAATCAAAATCCATTTCAAGAACAGAGAGTAATCGGACATACATTTTGTATCACTTTTTCATCCCTCAGCTCTTTTTCACTCCCTCCTTGAGTTCTCCTTTTTGCTCCACAATCTTCTTATGGCGATTTTCACCTCTGCATTCCTGAGTGTGTAAATGATGGGGTTCAGCATGGGGGTGATGACCGTGTAGAATACAGCCACAAGTTTATCTTCAGTGAAAGTGGAAGAGGGTCGCATGTAGAGGAAGATGGCAGGTCCAAAAAACAAGATGACCACTGTGATGTGGGAAGCACAGGTGGAGAGGGCTTTGTGCCTCCCCTCCGCAGAATGGTTCCTCAGGTTGACCAGAATGACAATATAAGAGGACACCAAGATGAGGAAGGAGAAGACAGAGAATAATCCACTGTTGGCAAACACAATAACCCCCTCCATGAAGGTGTCGGTGCAGGCAAGCTTGAACAAAGGCTGCAGGTCACAGAAATAGTGGTCAATCACATTAGGACCACAGAAGGGCAATTGGATGATGACGAGAATCTGAATTACAGAGTGACAAAAGCCCCCCAGCCAGGAACCGGCCACCAGAAGGTGACACAGTTGACGACTGATAATGTTCATATAATGAAGAGGCTTGCAGATGGCCACATAGCGATCATAGGCCATCACCACAAGCAAAAGGATCTCAGCAACCCCAAAGAAGTGGAAGAAGAATATCTGAGCCAGACAACCTTCCAGAGAGATGGTTTTAATCTTGGCAAGTAAGTCTGTGATGAATTTAGGGGCAACAGTGGAGGAGTAACTGATCTCCACCAAGGACAGGTAGCTAAGGAAGAAGTACATGGGGGAATCCAGACTCTTGCTCATACTGACCGTCAGAACGATGAGGCCGTTGCCCACCACTGTGGTCAGGTACACGGGGAGAAACACCACCAAGCACACTCTCTGCACCACTGGATCCTGGAAAAGGCCGGTGAAAATCAACGTAGTCACATTACTTGTACTGGCCATGGATTCCACTTGAAGAAGACAGATCTCAGAGAAAAGCCCTGTGACAAAGCACATGCAATCTTAACACTAATCCTTCATGTTTGTTTAGCACTTGCCTGTTAATAAAACCCTTTCATGTATACTTTCTGACTCACTTGTTTATTTATTTATATAGTCAATGTTTATTCACTTGGTGCTTAATAGCCTACCCTATGCAAGACACTGGTCAAGTAACCCCATAAAAACTCTATGATCCCCATATAACAAGTAAGAAAACTGAGGCTCAGAGAATTTGTGAATTAGCCAAGCCTCCCAGATCATAGTACTCCAACTCATACATTACTTCATGTATACCCCACTAAAAAAATTACCACTTTCAGCATGAAAACCATTTATATTAATTACTAACATTTCTCCTAGTCTCCATGTTCTCTGATCATGGCTTTGTGTTAGAGATTGTATAGTGACCTTCTGCTCCTGACTCTTTTGTTTCCTCCATTTATTTATTCCCCAGAAATGCCAATGTACTTGAAATGTCTCCATTTTAAAGAATACCTTTGATGTTTTCCTTACATTAACTACGTAAGTTTCTGAATTCTTTTAGACCCTATGGTTTTCGCCCAGTCCTATAGCTTCATGAATTTTTACAACCATTTTGAGAAAATTTTGGCAGTTGAGAGCTAAGTGAACGTGCAGAAGCTGTTTGGAGTATAGCTCCCTATGGAACAATAGTTTGAATATAATAGATGGACATCACCATTTTGCTTGTTTCTGTCTTCCAGTTTGCTTGCCATTAGCAAACATTTTTGTCAGCAGGATTTCTTTTAATACAATTCTTTGAACCAAAGGTTTTGTTAAGTACCTACCACATGCCTAGGCAACTCAGGACATAGGAAAGGAGAATGGAATATGGTTCTAGCCTCAAGAGGCTTGTAACTTCATATGATTAAACAGCACATTTATGAAATGAAGGAGAGAAAACCTTCAAGATTTTCTCTGCTTTTAAAACTCTTTTGAAGTATCTCAGGCCTGGCGCAGTGGCTCATGCCTGTAATCCCAGCACTTTGGGAGGTCAAGGCAGATGGATCAACTGAGGTCAGGAGTTCGAGATTGGCTGGCCAACATGGTAAAACCCCATTTCTACTAAAAATACAAAAATTAACCAGGCATGCTGGCAGGCGCCTGTAATCCCAGCTACTCAGGAGGCTGAGACAGGAGAACCGCTTGAACCCAGGAGGCAGAGGCTGCAGTGAGCCAAGATCTCACCATTGCACTCCAGCCTGGGTGACAAGAGAAAAACTCCATCTCAAAAAAAATTAAATAAAATAAAATTATTTTGAAGTGTCTCTTATTCATCTTACTTTTCCTTCTTCTACTTGTGCTTCCATTTGAAAATAGATTCAATACCTTTTCCTCCCTAATTTCTCTCATCGTGAAAATTTGAAGAGAAACACAAGGTAAAAATCTGCTGAGAGATGCTCAGTAAGGTGCTTGGCTAAAACTGAAGATGAAGTGGAGTATTAACTGGTGTTTAAAAAAAAAAAAAAAAAAAGGAAAGAAAGAAGAGGTACCCGAGAAAACAACTGAACGGGAGAGAGAAAGCAAGATGGGGCCTCTTACTGGTGCAGAGGAATGGAAATAAGGGAAGCATCAAAAACAACCCAAGAAGACTGCGAAGGGGTCTGGTGGCCTGGAGGAACTAGAGCATCTTGTTACCTGATGTTTGCCGTCACGTGGTTGTTAGGATGATGATGAAGATGGTGAGTATTGAGGTTACCAAATGTTCACCATCTTCATTGTCACCGTCTTCCTAACAACCACAACTGCAGGTGCTGCTGCCATTTTTTCAGGGTCTACAGTCATCCCCTCATTTAATTCTTCCTGTACCTCTTTGAGGTAGATAATTGATAGATCAGGGAAATGAGTCTCAGAGAAGTTTAGTAACTTGCCTAAAGAAACACAGCTTATGAGTTACATAGGCTGAAACCAAGCCTATGTAAATAAGGGTAGTGGAGAGCCACCACACCTCAGCTAGAGGAGAAAGGGATTAGCCACCCCAGGGCCTTGGAGAAATGGCATCGAAACTCATGATCAATACAAAATTTGGCCAAATTCATTTACTAATCCCTCCCTGTGAATAGCAGGAGCATCATTAGAAACTCCACGTTATTGGGAATATTCCATTTCCACCATTTCTGGATCAGGTAAGACCAAGAAACCATGTAGGATCCCGAGCAGAGTGTGAGACTCAGGCATTCCCCTCTCCTACTTTGTCCCAGGGCAGGGATTTGGATGGGAGGTAGCAATGCAGCTGGTGAGATCGAGCTATGGAATCTGTCATTCCCTCCCAGCGCAGGTGAGCTGAAGAAACCCCTCTCATACTGGGCCTTATAGCAGCACCATCACTTTCCCCGTCCCTCAGGCTTGAAACCACGGAGTCACGTCTAATTCATGCCTCCTCCACCTGTCATATTTACACAATCTTTATGTCCTGTTGATTTCACCAGTTTCCTCCTCTGTCTTCCTGCAGCTGCCATCTTCAAGCAGGACATAAACTCATGTGAGGATGACCACAGACATCTACATGCTCCTAGTCTAGTCCCTAGTCTTCATCCCAGTCTATTCTGCACACTCAAGTTAGAAATTCTTCATCTTTCCTCAGTACCTCCAAATCATTCAGAAGTTGCCATTGTCTCCCTGTTGGCTGGCAATCCATCCTAAATTCTTCCATCTGACTTTTAGAAACCTCTACAAGATTTCCACAGCCCCCTTCGAACCCACATTACTGGGCACTAAACTGCACACAATCTCAGTTCGAGGTCTCCTCACCTTCTCATAAATACAAGTTGATCCCCAACACAGGGGCATCTTTCCTACTTTTCACATTACCTGATGTATCATCCCTTTTTGCCTCCCTTTCCAAGTGCCAGCTAGTCTACGATGTCTGCTGTCTAGGAAGCTTTCTCTGGTTACTTCAACACTGATTCATTTATCTCTGCTCTCAACTCTAGAAATCAGTTTAAGTCATCCTTCTGCTAAATGCAAGAAGGCACACAGTATTCGTCTCATAGCAAGCCCTCAAAGAATGTAAACTATTATGATTGTTATACTTCTAAAATGCAAATCTGATAAAGTCATGCATTGACTTGAACTCTAGCAATGGTTTTCCACTGACTACAAAATTAAGTCCAATACCCTCAGCATGACATTAAGACTCTCCAAGAACTGGAGCTTGTTCACCTTTCTAGATTCAGCTGCCGTCACTCTTAACTGGAGCTTGTATTCCAGCCATTCTGAACGATGTATCATTCTAAAAAAAACTGTCTTTTTGCATAAGCTAATCCCTCTGCTTGGTTGGTGTGCATATCTTGACTTTCTAACTAACTTTTCTTCTTGTTTTAATACTCAGGTCAAACACCACCCATCGCTGCACTGCCAGGCAACACCTCTTCCATGTTTTGTTGTGTTTTACTCTTTTTGAGACAAGGTATCACTGTTTCAACCAGACTGGAGTGCAATGGCATGATCATAGCTCACTGTAACCTTGAACTCCTAGGCTTAAGGGATCCTCCTGCCTTGGTCTCCTGAGTAGCTAGGACTACAAGTGCTACCAGGCCCAGGTCATTTTTTAATTTTTTTGTAGAGATGGCATCTCACTATGTTGCCCAGGCTGGCCTCTACTCCTGGTTTCAGGTGATCCTCCCAACGCTCTAGGATTACAGGTGGGAGCCACCATGCCTGGCCTTCTTCCATGTTCTTTACATATTTCTACTGGAGTAGTTAGCATATTTTATTGTAATTACTGTTTCTGTATCTGTCTTCTTTGCTGCCTTTATTCATCTCTAAATCCTCCAAATAACTTCTCAGCAAATGTTCATTTAATTGAATTTTTAAATGAATAAATGAAGTTCTTCTACCACCTACAGTTGAAAGCACACAATGCAGCACACACTTTATCTTTATACAGCCTCTTTTCTTTTCTCTCACTGTGGTTTTATGGTCACCTGTTTGTCTTTAGAAAAACAGTCGAAGTTTATTACGCCCACATAGCACCTAAATGTCAATCTCACCAATGGTGCACAGTATATATATAGACTTGTAATTGATGATAAACTGATTAACCAGTAGATTGATAAGAAAAAAACTAGATTCTTTAATGCTATCTCTCTACATTTTCTTTTAAGTCTGTTGACCTCTTACAACCTACCTGAAACTCTTTCTCACCAAATATATAAAGTTATGAACAATGTAGAATCATTTTTATTTCAGAAATAAACATTTTACTGCACTGGGTCAAAGCCGCACATGCTGAAATTGAGATACTTTACCTACTTCTAGATTATTTTCTATGAGCTGAGTGGGGAGGATCCTAACATCATTATGTTTTCCAGAAGACATTTTTTGTTCTTTGGTTTGTCCAGTGTTACTTGGACATGAATAGCCCAGTTCTCACTTAAAATGCTAACTCTCTTACACACACACACACACACACACGACTCCTTATGCTGAGAAGGTTACCATAATGGGCCACATGATATACATTTTAAAAACAAACAAAAAAACCTATTAGGGGAACTTAATACAATTATGTCAGATGGCTTAATGAAGTCATTGTGAGAGCACAGAGGTGATGAATCCAGAAGGGCAAGTGACCTGCCTTTTAGTGGAGGAGACAGTTCGAGGTTCAGGGTCCTCTAAAGGACAGAGATAAACAAAGCAAGGACCCCTGGCTAAGCTGCCTTTCACTCTTCTCAGGAATTGGTCTAAAGCAGTGGTAAAGAGGGTGAGTGTTGAAATTGGGAGCCAACTCTTAGCTCTACTGCCCACCTATCATGTGTCCTTATTAACAGTTTTTTTTTTCAATAGAGTAGCAAATTATATTTGGCATAGTTGTTGCAAGAATTAGATGTGAGATAAAATATATAAAGTACTTCACAGGGTTGCCCAGCAAATAGAAAGCTTTCCATAAATAGTAGCTTTTCTTAGCTCAGATTTTCTGGTATTTATTTACATTTCTTTCTGCTTTCTGTTTCCACCTTCCCCAAGAGAAAGGCAGCTATTTGATAACAAATTACCTCCTTTTTCTTCCAGCACTTTCCCAAATAAATCCCACACCCTGGGGTCGTGGATTACACGTAAAAGCCTAGGTAGGAAAATTATCATCTAAATGCTAAACAGGTAGAATTTTATCCTCTAACGTGAAGCCCCAATGAGAGAAATCTGACAGGGACAAAACAGTGAGTGAGAGGTAGCCTAGAAGACCCATTGCTATGAGCACAAAGCCACATCAGAAGGTCTCCTTCCCACCACCTGCCTCAGACCCCCAAGTGGTACTACATGGAATCCCAGAAAGTGAATGCCGGAAAGAACTTTAAGACACATTCTGTCCAGCCCTCTCCTTTCTACAGAGTCAGAAACTGAGCCTAAGAGAGGGAAAGTGACCGCCCTAGATCATACAGAGATTTGGCGCCTCTAACTCATGCTCAGTGAACCTGAGAACTCTTTCTGGATAGGGCATTACCTACCTTCCTTGGGTAATATTCAGCCTTAGAACAGAGAATGGAATGGGAGGCTCCTTCTCCTTAGGATGAGGAAAATTTTCTTCCTCCGTGGCAAGTGCTCATCATTCAGAGGGGTGTCCAGGGCTGACAGGACTGAAGGAGTGTGACTTGGAGCACAGGAGGCCCCTCTTCAGAACAAGAATCTGCCACTCACCTTCTACATCTGCATTGAAGGCACCCCAGTAGATTAAACCACTTCATCTTAGCTAAGGCACCAGGTGAAATCAAAGCAATTTTAGAGCTGAATAAATTTGTAGACCATTCATTCAATATCCTTAGTTTTCAGACGATGCAACAAAGGGCCAGAGAATTTAATTGACCTTTCAAAGTTACACAACTCATTAGTTACTGATCAAGTTGCTGAGGTACCAATAAGTGCTCTTTCCATGACACTGGGATTCCTTTCTAGTGATCTTGAT